GAAGCGGACTAATACTGATGACCTTCTGGGATTGAAAAGAAACAGTTGCGAAGCAACAATACTCAAGGCTACTCTATCCCTGACCAAGTATCAAATAGTGTGGCTGAATCTACCAAACAGAAGACCGGGTCGAGGAGGAAACGACACCAGAAGGTGCGAGAAACACGAAGGGTAACGGGCCTCTCCGCTAAAGAACGACTCGGTCCGAAAATCCTGATCCAAAAAGAAGGCTCCGATGTTTTCTGGGTATGGGTACTCGTGGGGTAGTGTAACATCTCGCTCACCATCGCACTAAATTTGTATATGAAAACTTCTATTTATTCGGATCTTAAGGTCATTTGAACTCATTTAAATTTATCTCGTAGTTTTATATCGTGTTTCGTGATTTAAATTCGTAATTTTAATTTATTTTGATTTTGTTATTTGTTTTATTTTTATTTATTATTATTATTTTATTTTATTGTATTTTATTTTTGTTATATTTTTATTAAAAAATAATTTTCAGCAGAAAAAAAAGAAAAAAAGGGGTGAAATCCCAAGGGAAAACGCCCACGAGAAAAGGTCCGCTTGTGCGGGCATCACACGCTGTGCGCGTACGCGCGCGCATGGCCAGCATAGGAGGTGCGCATGTCCCGTTCGCGCGGTGCATGAGGCTGGTCTGTGCGCGCGTCTCATCGCAAGCAAATAGGTCAGTCCGCGCGTGTCAGATCGGGCATGGAGAGGGCCAGGCCCCGTGCACCTTGTGCACGTGCCATTCGCGCAGTACACCTGCGCGGACAGGCCTGCGCGCAGTGCCCTACGCGTTGTAGGCCTTGCGTGTGGTAGGATAGATCGACACCTGCAGGCTAGGCTTGCAGCGCACGGTCGACTTGAGGAGGCGCACTACTGTCTCGGGCAATGTGTCGCCGTCCCTTGGGCACCGTACACCGCCTTAAGTGGTGTGTCGTTGCCGCCTTGGGTGGAGAGCTGCCGCTGGTTGGAGGATTCTTCCTCTATTTTTTGCGCCGCTGTCGTATTGCATCAAATCACTCATCTTCTACTCAACTTTCTCTCCCTTCACCAAATTTCGCCACTTCGCACAAATCTAACAGTCTCTATTTTTTAAAAATTAGGACTCCTTTCTTCCATTTTCCTCATCACTTCCATTTCATTCTTCCATCCTCTAAGAGTTTAGAGAGAGAATGAGTGATCTAGAGAGAGAATGAGAGGAGAAGAAGAAGAAAAGTATAGGAAAACCTTAAGGTTTCGGTAAGGAACCTAGTATTTTCTTGGATATCTTAAAGAGTATTTTTAGAAATTAAAATTAAGAAGTTTGAAATTTATGATTTGCTTATTTTATGTTTAATTGTTCAAATGGAGTGAATTTTTCTTAATAAATCATGTTATAAGATCATATAGGCACTTGATGATTTGTATGTGATTTAAATGACATGATTTTGGCAATAATTTTCTGAAATACGAAAAGGATATTTAATATGAAATGGTATGAAAAACGTGTATCTGTATTGATATGCATAATGTATCAAATGTCTCATTAGGCTTTTTATCTCTGAATGGTTTCTATTTCCCTCTCCCCCATATGGTATGGAAAGATGTGAAAAGACCTGTGGATGACAGCGTATCCTCTAACGAGAGCGGTAACATGAATATCTGTTAGAGGTCACCTTTAGCTAAGTACTGCCGTGATTATATAATATCTGATAGGACCATTGTGGTTGGTATGACCGTAATAATAAATCGTACCATGGTTTGGCAATCCGAAAATGTGTCGTAAGCAAATTGCCGTTACATATTTGACCTCTTCATTCTACACGGGTAGTGAAAAATTCGTATATGCCATTAATAGATGGAAGTCAGGACAATTTCGCAAAGTATGACATGAAAATCTGAGTATTTCATAATTTATTTGATTTTCTCTATTATTAAGCATGATTTCATTTGATTGTTGTGATTATGATATGATGGATTTGATATCTTTGTTAATAAATAGAATTCTTTTCATAAAATAAGAAAGAACCTTGACGTGATCCGATGATAAGTATTTATGACATTATTATTCACTTTTAAAATGTTACGATGTTATTTAAATATTGTTTTCCTTACTAAATATATAGAACTTACTTTTTTTATGCTCCTCCAGATGA